CCCCAGCCCTGCAAGCTACTGCCACCTAGGTGCACCTTAACTGTGTCTTCAAAAGACCATTCCACCTTTCTATCAATCCAGCCGCTTCTGGGTGGTAAGGAACATGATAAGAATAGTGAATACCATGAGCATGAGCCCATTGCTTTACTTCTTTGGCTACAAAATGTGTTTCTTGGTCAGAGGCAATGCTATGCGGAATTCCATGACGGTGGATAAGGCATTCTGTAAGTCCACAGATGGTAGTTTTGGCAGAAGCAGTACGTGCAGCAAAGGCACATCCATACCCAGGATATGTGTCTATGCCAGTGAGGACAAAACACAGTCCCTTCCATGATGGAAGTGGTCCAATATAATCAACCTGCCACCAGGTCACAGGTTGATCACCACAGGGAATGGTGCCAAACTGGGGACTCGGTGTCGGCCTCTGCTGCTGGCATGTCGGGCATTCAGCAGTGGCTGTAGCCAGATCAGCCTTGGTGAATGGGAGTCCATATTGCTGAGCCCATGCATAACCTCCATCCCTGCCACCATGGCCGCTCTGTTCCTGAGTCCATCGGGCAATGACAGGGGTAGCTGAAGGAGGTTGGCCACTGTCCACAGACCAGGTCATCTTATCTACTCGATTATTAAAGTCTCCTTCTGCCGATGTCACCTTTTGGTGAGCATTTACGTGGGAAACAAATACTTTTACATCCTCTGCCCACATGGAGAGGTCAACCCACATACCTCTTCTCCAAATATCTTTGTCATCAATTTTCCAGTGATGTTCTTTCCATGTTCCTGACCATCCAGCCAGACCATTAGCTACGGATCATGAATCAGTACATAGTCACACATCTGGCCATTTCTCCTACCAGGCAAAATGTACTACCAAGTGCACTGCCTGAAGTTCTGCCCACTGTGATGATTTCCCTTCACCATGGTCCTTCAAGGATATCCCAGAAAGGGGCTGCAATGCTGCAGCTGTCCACTTGTGGATGGTGCCTGTATAGCGTGCAGAGCCATCCGTAAACCAGGCCCTAGTCTTTTCGTCCTCTGACAGCTGATCATGTGGCACACCCCACAAGGCCATAGGTGCATGCTGGGAAACAGAAGGCAGTACAGTAGGTGTAGGAGCCATAGACATCTAGGCAACTTCCTCATGCAATTTACTGGTGCCCTCTGGACCTGCCCTGGCTCGATCACGAATATACCACTTCCATTTAATGATAGACTGTTGCTGTGCACGTCCAACCTTATGACTTGGTGGATCAGATAATACCCAGGCCATGATAGGCAACTCAGGTCTCATGGTGACCTAGTGTCCCATGGTCAAGCATTCAGTTTCCACTAGGGCCCAGTAACAGGCCAGGAGCTGTTTTTCAAAGGGAGAGTAATTGTCTGCAGATGACGTCAGAGCCTTGCTCCAAAACCCTAAAGGCCTCTGCTGCAGTTCACCTATGGGGGCCTGCCAGAGACTCCAAACGCATCTCTTCCTGCCACTGCCACTTCAAGTACCATTGGATCATCTGGATCATATGGCCCCAGGGGCAGAGCAGCCTGCACGGCAGCCTGGACCTGCTGCAGAGCCTGTTCTTGGTCTGGGCCCCACTCAAAACTAGCAGCTTTCTGGGTCACTCGGTAAATGGGCCAGAGTAAGACACCTAAGTGAGGAATGTGTTGCCTCCAAAACCCAAAAAGCCCCACTAGGCACTGTGCCTCTTTTTTGGTTGTAGGGGAAGCCAGATACAACAACTTATCTTTTGCCTTAGAAGGGATATCTCTACATGCTCCACACCACTGGACTCCTAGAAACTTCACCAAAGTAGAAGGACCTTGAATTTTTGCTGAATTTATTTCCCTTCCCCTGGCTCTCAAATGCTGTACTAACAAATCTAGAGTAGCTGTGACTTCCTGCTCACGAGGCCCAATCAGCATAACATCATCAATGTAATGGACCAATGTGATATCTCGTGGGAGAGAAAAACGATCAAGATCCCTACAAACTAAGTTGTGATACAGGGCTGGCGAGTTAATATACCCCTGAGGTAAGACAGTGAAGGTATATTGCTAGCCTTGCCAACTGAAGGCAAATTGTTTCTGATGGTCCTTATGGATAGGTATGGAGAAGGCATTTGCTAAGTCAATAGCTGCATACCAAGTACCAGGAGATGTGTTAATTAGCTCAAGCAAGGAAACCACATCTGGTACTGCAGCTGCAATGGGAGTCACCACTTGATTCAGTTTACGGTATTCTACCGTTATTCTCCAAGACCATCCGTCTTTTGTACAGGCCAAATGGGAGAATTAAAAGGAGATGTGGTGGGGACCACCACCCCTGCATCCTTCAACTCCTTGATGGTGGCACTAATCTCTGGAATCCCTCCAGGAATGCGATACTGCTTTTGGTTTACTATTTTACCAGGCAAAGGTAGCTCTAAAGGCTTCCATTTGGCCTTCCCAACCATAATAGCCCTCACACTGCAGGTCAGAGAACCAATATGAGGATTCTGCCAAGTACTAAGCAAGTCTATACCAATTATGCATTCTGGAACAGGGGAAATAACTACTGGATGGATTCGAGGACCTATCGGACTCACTGTGCGTCAGACCTTTGCTAAAACTCCATTAATCACCTGACCTCCATAGGCCCCCACTCGTACTGGAGGGCCACAGTGACATTTTGGATCCCCTGGAATCAGTGTTAGTTCAGAGCCAGTGTCCAGGAGTCCTCGAAATGTCTGAGCATTGCCCTTTCCCCAGTGTACAGTCACTCGGGCAAAAGGCCTCAGGTCCCTCTGGAGAAGAGTGGGAGAAAGACTGACTGTACAAATTTTCAACATATCAGGATTCTTCCCCAAGGGGACCTGGTCACCCCTTCATTCAAGGTCACCCCTTCATTCCTCTGGGTCTGTAAACTGGCTCAAATCTGGGAACTGGTTGAGGGGCTGTGATTCCCTGTTACCATGATCTGAAGTAGGCTTCCGTTCATTTGCCCTTAAATTTTTTTGAATATACAAATCTAGTAAAAATTTTGTAGGCTTCCTATCTATTTCACTTTTGGGAACATCGTGGCTAATCAGCCAACGCCATAGTTCTGCACGTGTCAGATTATTCTGGTCAGTGCTCTGCATCTGCTGTCTATTATGGTAAGTATGGGACCCTGCCTTTGGCAACTGAGTGCTGCCACCTGACCTGTGCCACTCTGGGATCCAATCAAGCCCATTGCCCTTAAGTATCCTAATTGAGTAACCGTGGCACCCACTGTAAGGTCTGGCATACAGAGAAGAGCAATGACAGGGCTCTTCAGGGATGCTGGTGCTCCCCTTACAAATCTGTTTCTCAAAGTGTTAGTGAAGGGTATATTTTCTGGATCATCCCAATATGGAGGATTAGGTTTAACTTGACAGATCCATTCCAGCATTCCCATTTCTCTAAGCCTCTGAATCCCTTCATCAATAGTGAACTATGGAACATCAGGCATCTCTAACTCATTCACAGTGGGCCATCTCTTGATCCACACTTCTGCTAACCAGCCAAATAAACTATTAACACCTTTCTTTACTCCATGAGCTGCAACATTAAATTCAGAATCTCTGCTTAATGGGCCCATATCAACAAATTCAGCCTGATCCAGGTGTATATTTTTTCCACCATTATCCCACACTCGTAAAATCCATTCCCACACTTGCTCATTGGGCCTTTGCTTGTAAGAGTTAGAAAACTCAAGGAGTTCTTTGGGAGAATAGTGGACCTCCTCTTGGGTTACAGTATGTACCTCACCCTTAGGAGCCTTCTGTGACTTGAGCCTGGTTATAGGCCTAGAGGCAAAAATAGGTGGTGAGGGTGGGTCCTGAGGAGTGTCAGCATCATTTTGTGTCATCAGCACAGGATTAGTCTCCCCAGGCATACTAGGAGATGCCAACAGCTCAGGGGGTGGAGGCGGCAATGCCTCTGCCAGAGCAGGTGGGGAGATCTCTTCCTCTGGCAAAATAATCTCATCAGCATCTAGGAACTCAACATCCTCAGCTTCCTCAGGATCCTCCCACACATCTCCATCCCAGTTTATGGGATCCCATTCCTTTCCAATCAGTGCCCTCACTTTTGCTTCTGATACCCTTCAAGGCTGAGCATTAAACTTATGTTGCAGTTCAGCCAATCGAATTATGATGGACTGTGTCTGAGTTTCTTCAATCTGAGCTTTTTGATTAAAAGAAAGGAGATTTTCTTTCAGGACACACTTAGAAACTTTTAAATTTCTTACCTGCGTCTGGAGAAGGGAATTTGTATCTTTGAGCTTCTTATTTTCCTTTCTCAATTTGTCCTCACAGCCAGAAGACTTTAAACTTTCTTCGGATGTTTTGAGCTCATTGTTTACTTCAGTAGTTTGTCCAGGGATGCTAAAAACAACCAGCCAGCATCATTATATTTCCTACTCTGCCAAAGGAATTCAAAATTTCCATGCACAGAGTTGCTAAATTCCTGACATCTCACAAGTGGTGAATTAGGATAGTCAAATGGATCTACATGGCGTATTAGGTCAAACAGTTCACACCAAGGATTATCCGTATGCCCCACAGAAGTGGAAGGAGAGACCATGGTGTCTTTAGGCCTCATCAGATTGCAGAGCCAACTCCAGGAACCCCTAAAGCCATTAAAGAACGACATCCTTACAATTCTGTTTCTCTAGAGCCACTCCTGGTATCAAAATCTGTATTGGTTACTTTTCTCTCATTGCTGAAACTAAATACCGAACACCCAAAATTAAGGAAGGAGAGGTTTATTTAGCTTACAGTTTGTGGAGGTTTCAGTCCATACTTGTCTGTCTCCGAGGCAGAAGGTAGCAAAGCAACAAGAGCAAAGGGGGGAATGGCAGCTGAACAGCAAACAGCCAGAGCAAAAGGGAGGAATCACAGCCAGCAGCCTCTTTCCCACCCTTACATTGTAAGCAGGCTACCCCCACCTAAGGGGCATGTAGCTCTCACATAATCTCCATGCCCTCTTCTTCCACAGGCTCAGGATGTATACAAAGTAAGCACCCTGGCTTCCTGTTGAGTCACATAGCCAAACCTCTCGACTCCCCAAGTTGACACAATATATCAACCATAACAAAGACACTAGTCTAACTACATAACCATAGGAATCCTCCAAAATGGAGAACCTGTCCCAGCCATAGTCAGCGGGAAATATGTGACTGTAGAAAGGTCAGAGACATGTGACATGAGGACATGTCCCACAATGGCTGGCTGGAGAATGGAGGAAGAAGGCTACAGTCCAAGGAATTCAGTGACCTCCAGAAGCTGGGACTGGCCCTTAGCTACAGCCAACAAAAAATGCTCAGCTCAGTCCTACAACTACAAATAAGTGAATTCTAAAAGAGCAGGAAACATTATTCTTTGGGGATTTCAGGAATGAATTCAGTTGTCAATACATTTATTTTAGCCCAGAGAGGTTCACTACTAGACTCAGACCCCATAAATTGTAAGTTAATGCTTTGTGTTGTAAGTCACAAAAGTTGTGGTATTTTGTTACAGCAGCAATAGAAATCTAGTGTCCTCTCCTCCAGATTTTCTCCCTGGACCTGCTTCTTAGCAAAAGTGGGATTAAGAGGGGTTGCAAGATGGTGTCCTTCCTCTAGCAGGGGCTCTTGGCCTCCATTCCCCACTACTGCTTCTCTTATAACTGCTCCCACAAGTTTTGAGACAGGGACAGAAAACTTCTCTATACTTTGTTGTCCTTACTCTTTCTTATGTGTGGATTATAGGCAGGAAGTGAAATTTTTGTGTGTCCCAGAACTTATTTAAGTATCTTTCTCCTTTAGTCACAATAAATAAAGAAAAGACAATACAGAGGGAGGAAAGGCCCCATGTAACATTGTTGGGATCTTTCACAGATCTTTTTCCCTGGTTCTGCATTTGAGTGCAAGTACGCATTAACCATTTCTCTGCATTCCCATCACTCACTGGCTACTGGAGTTCCCTTTGGTTGGACCAGGTCTACTTGATAAAAATCTTGTGTCTGATTGCCCTCTGTATTGAACACACCTCTCACATTGGACTCTGCACTTCTGGTCCTATTTCATGTTTGGAATTAATTTCTGCGTAATTTCAAGTCAATTCCTTCCTACTCTCATGCTGTTTCATGCACATTGCTAGCAGTTTACCATGTCTCACCCGTGGGCCTCCCAGAACACAGAACTTCAGGTCTGGAAGGGTAGAAGGGATCCTCAATGTCAGTTGTTTCACTGCCTTCCTCTTCCCATTTCTTAGTCTTAAGCCGTCTCTCTTCCCTCCTCACTGGTCATCCAGCACATTCATGTGTAAGATCCACAGTCGGTTTACTCTGCTGGTAGTTTATTCCATTATGGAAGTTTTTTTTTTTTTTCTGAATTCCTCATGGCGACACCAGCCCAAGGCAGAGCCCAACGACTCACAGGAACTCTGTGAATGAATGAATGAATATTATCGAGCCCCAAATTGGTTTCCATAAAGTAGTCTTTGGGATAATTCATAGTGTTTATCTTAGTTACTTTTCTCTCATTGCTGAGACAAAATACCCGACACCGGAAATGAAGGAAGGAAAGGTTTATTTAGCTGTGGAGATTTCAGTCCATACTTGGCTGGCTCGAAGTCAGGGTAGTGTGACAGAGGGCAACAGTTCACGGCTGGGGAAGACAGCAAAAGCAACAAGAGCAAAAAGGGAGGAGCGGGAGAGAAGACTCTTTCTGTCTCTTATATTGTATGCAGGCTCCCCACCCTGGGATGGGTGTAGCACTCATACTCATAATCCTGGCACTAGACAATGAATCAGTCACAAACTCTAGATTCAGTTGCCTCAGAAAAGCACCCACCCCATCACTGCATGAGGCTTTGGGGGGACATCCAGACACAAACCATAACAGTGATTTAAGTCCCCTCTATAGTTGGCCTTTAAGTATATACTTGATTCTTTTCTTCTTATTTGATATATTTTTCAAAGCCCAAAGGATATTCCTACATATCAGCTACAACTCGTTCTCTTTCAGTTATATAATAGCCTGTCTAAGGAATGTTCAGTTTCCTGGAATGCATTCAGTGTGAGGGTCAGCCAGAAGTGATTGTGTAACTATTGCAAAAGTTGGCAGTTTGCATCATTCCAAAAGTCTTATCTCAGCAGTCCAGACGCGGGACTCTGCCAGTGGTCATAGCTCCCAGTTTCTCATTGTATGAGATCTGCAGCGAGCTGTAATGAGCACTGGATGCTCAGGTAGAAGGCATCCTGGTGTATTTTAAGGATAGAGGGATAGCCAAAGGAACTTTTTATGATGTCTTGAAATTACACCCAAAGCCTCAGAGCTGTCAAAAAAAGGTGATAAGTATCCCCAGGTTTCTCAATGAGGTACTAGCACTAGAAATTGTGAAAACTGGTGCAAGTGATTATCAACCCCTATTACATACTTCCAGACCATGCAGGATACGAGGGACTAAAGAGCACCTCTAGGGTGGTAGACAGTGTTGTGACCTTTTCCTTTGTCTTCCTATAGGTTAGCCTTCAAGAGACACTGTGGTGTTCTAGGAGTGAAGGACAGTGGGGTGGGAGAGTTCGTGGAATGGACATGTGTCTTCTAGAGCTTACGGCCCAGAAGCTGAGGCTTGCTTCCTGCTTGGTGGGTTTGGAATGCGGGAAGCTGGTGGGAATTCTAGACGAGGGGGGAGCTACGTAGAGGGAACTGTATGCAGTGCTAGCATTTGTAATGGTGAGATGTGTTTTCCAGGAACTACAGTGGAAAATTGGTTTTGAAGTAAGGGGACTGTCGATGGGGTGAAGGGATCCGCAATAAGCTGTTATAGGCTGTACTTCCCAGCAGGGGCCGAGGAGTTCACAAGACACACCTGGGAGAAGTGGATGAGAATATATGGGCTCTAAAGGGGGCTTTTCAGCCGGTTGGCCCCACCATGAGCCTTTGAAAGCCCCATAAACCCATCCCCCTGGAAAGAACCCGCCTGTGACTTTCTTTTACACTAAGGCCATTGTCTGCCTCATTGCAGTAGCACATGCCACAAAATATGCACTTGTTCCTTTTCCTTAAATCTTCTTTCCCCCTCCCTGGACTCTGAGGAAGCCTGAGGCAGTAGCCCGAGGCGGAGGAAAGAGAAGGTGGTGGAGAGGGAGCAGAGTATCTCTTTTCCACACTATAGGTCACCACACCGCCCTTCAGGCTGGGGCGATGGGTATAGAGCCAGTGGGGACTCCGGACTGAGGTGTGATTGAGGTTTTCTGTAGGATATCCGAATAGATTTTAAGTCATGAAAGTAATTTCAGAATCTGTGAGATATACTCCAGGTGTTGCTCACAGTGGACAGGGGTGCTCTGACAGGGCAGGTTCAGGAGTGATTAGAGAAACTCAAGTTGTTTTCTGTTTATACACCACTGAGGTTAGCCCATTTAGTAAGCTTATTGTGTAAATGATAATTGCAAATAAATTCCAGGGAATTTGGGCTGAGGGATTAGGGAGGTAACAGAGCATTCTCTACAAATTTGATATTATAGAACCTTAATTTTTTTTTTTGTATTACTGTTTAATTTTTTTTGTTTTTTGTTTTTTGGCTTTTCTCCGGTACCGGGAACCGAACTCACGACCTTGAGCTTGCCAGGCAGGCGCTTTTGCCGCTGAGCTAAATCCCCAGCCCCTACTGTTTAATGTTTTTTAAAATTTATTTTGAAATAATTTAACAACTATAAAAAGTTGCAAAAATAATAGAGTTCCTATATAACCTTCTTCTGATTGTTGAAATTAGGAAATTTACATTGATACAATATGAAGTAACTGATGAACCTTATTTGAGTTTTGATTTTCAACAGTCTTCGCATGAATGTTCTTTTGCTGGCCAGAATCCAATCCACTGTCCCACCTCACATTTAGTTATTATTTCTCCATAATCTCTTTGTTAGTCATTACATTTTAAGATTGGAAAGAACATTAAAGATCTATTAGATGAATCATCCTGTGGATTCTGAATACCCCCTACAAAACTTAATTTTTTTTTTTTTTTTAACATGAAGATGCCTCCAGTGACTGCCTGTTTTGAGTGGTAACCAGTCTTATTAGAAAGTTCACAGCTATGATTTGCTGTTTTTCAGCTTCTATCTATTGATTCTGGCCTGTCTGAGTCACTTTCCCATGGCTGAGACAAAATATCCAACAGCACAGCTTAGAGGAAGAGAGGTTTATTTTGGTTCATAGTTTCAGCCCGTGGTCAGCTGCCTCCCAAGCAGAAATATCACAGTGGGAGGGCTTGGGTGGAGGACAGCTGCTCAACGCATAGCAGCCAGGAAACAAAGAGATAGGGGAGGAGCTGGGGACAGGAATCCATACTTCTATGCCATGTCCCCAGTGAGCCACCCCAACCTTTTTTTTTTTTTTTTTTTTTTTTTTTTTCCGGTTTTTTTTTGTTTCAAACTCACTACCTTGCACGCATTTTAGCCTGTTGTTTGGTTTTTTTTCTCCGGTACCGGGAACTGAACTCACGACCTTGCGCTTACCAGGCAGGCGCTTTTGCAGCTGAGCTAAATCCCCAGCCCCAACCCCAACCTTCTTTACCGCACATCTGGCTACTGAACTCATCCGCAGGTGAATCGCTGATGAGTACGGCGCCCCCAAGACCCTATCACTTCCCCAACACATGAGAAGTTTGGGATGTATTTTATTGTTTTTTTTTCTTTTTGGTCTTTTTGAGACAGGGTCTCGCTATGCAGTTCAGACTGGCCTTGAGCTCACTCTGTAGCCCAGGCTGGCCTCAAACTTGCAACGATCCTCCTGTCTCAGCCTCCAGAGTGCTGGGATTACAGGCGTGCGCCACCACGCCCGGCTTGGGATGCATTTTAGATATAAATCATAGCATAGTCCTTACCTTATCTTTGCTATTTAGAACAAGTCCAATTTCCTTTGTACATAATAACTTCCAAATGCTTGAAGACTATTACATTTCTACTTCTTCTCTAGGAACTGCTCCCCATTCCTGCCTCTAAATCCTTTCTTTTTAGGTGAGCATCTTCAGTTCCTCCCATAACATTATTTTAAGTTATTTTACTAAACCCAGACTAGCTCCAAACTACTTTAGGTCATTTTTCCCTGAACTAACTCTCTATTGCACTCCAAATTAGCTCCAATTCTTTCTTTCTTTCCTTCTTTTTTGTCTATCTCTCTCTCTATCTGTCTATCATCCATCCATAATTTTTCTATTATCTATCTTTTTATCTATCATCTATCTTTTTATGTATCTATCTTTTTATCTATCTATCTATCTATCTATCTATCTCATTCTATCTTCTATCTCATGATTGTAGATGTGGGTGTGTATACCTATTTTTATATATGTTGTCTGCACAGAGAAAATCAGTTATCATTCTCTATATTCCATAGCATATTTCTGTGCTAACATTAAGGCTTGGTTTATTTGTATAAAGATATGTGGAAGCTAGCTTTGGTATTCTAATTAAATAGCCATTTTCAGTCAAATTTAGCGAGTCATCTAGGCTCCTATGTGAGTTGCTAAGAGAAGTCTGGCATCTTTATTAGATAAAATTTACAGGGTTGGTAGTGAGCAACAGCAGCTCTGCCTCTCCAAAATTCAAAACCTAGCCCCTGGAAAATAACAACCTGGGGAAGAAAAGAAGGAGGGAGGTGGATCCCCAGGAACCCTAGAAGGATTGGCAGGGAAAATTGGAGCCTACAGAGAAATCCGAAGAGACAGAACACAATGTGGGAAAGGGAAGGGACAGTCTGTAATTTCTCCTTGGCTCCTGGCTCCTGGCTCATGAGAAAGGAAGGCTGAAACTACAGAGACAAAGTAAAAGTGGGGGACTCCAGAGAGCTTCAGGGAGAAATGTAGCCATGAAATGAACCAGAGGATGCTGTGTGCTGCTACAGCTGGTGAGGGACTCCAGTCCAAGTGCCCACCATATCCCCAGGGTATGGTTAGATGTCACTCCAGAGAGCGGTTGACTGAACTTGGGACTCTGAGCAGCCACAGCTTGGCTTCATTGCAGGGCTCCTAGTGTTACGTTTCCACAGTGACTGGGGGAGAGACAGCCGTGGGAGACAGTCATGGCCAGGATGCTGCAGTCATGCAGCAAGAGAGCCCCGGAGGAATTTAAACTAAAGGATTTAGACCACACTCCCATAGCCAGAGGCCAGGCTCACCTGGATTGCTGTGAATGTGAAAGGTGCAGAATTGGTGCTCTCACCCTAATTCTAATGCCTGTTGGTGATCGCACCCAGCACAAATCCAGGGTCTGATGGCTTTCTTTAAGATGTGTCCAGCAAGAGCATAGACACATCTTAAATTTGGGGCACTGTCCCCAAACTGTAGATTCTGGAAGACATTTCTTTATTTTTTTTTCTTTTCCTTTTTTTGTTTTGGTGTGTTGTTTTTAGTGTTTTCTTTTTGGCTTTGTTTTTGTTTTCCTTCTACTCAACTTTTTTTCTTTATTCTTCACTAATTTATTGGAGCTTAGGAAATTTTCTTTTGTCAGTTTTCCTTGCTTCTTAATTCTTTTTCTTAATTCTTTTTTTCTTCTTCTCCCTTTTAATTTTTCTCCTCAATTTTTTCTTATTTTTACCTCTATATAATTTCTTTCTTCTCTTCATGTTTTAAATCTTCTATTTCTGGTCAGTTTCTTCTCTTACCTTTGCCTAATTCTATAAACATCCTTCTACTCCCCAATATGATCTTCTGTATCACTTCTCTTTTTTTTTCTGATATTATAGAATTTTGGGTCTCAAAATTTTTTTCTTGCATATGCCAATTGCCCAACCCTATATCTGTACTAGTATGACTATAATGCTTTGTCAATCTTTTAATAATTAGCTCTGTAAAATTTTTGAATTTTTTTCTATCATTAGTGGAAATACAACTAATATATTTAATACATATTAGCTGTAAGTCAATACTTGAGTTACACTAGTGTTTAAGCCATAATTGGGGATTTCTTTTCTAGAATTAAGGGTGATATGTAATTGGTTCTAATGGTTAATATCTAATTTGTTTTGGATGATTTTACTGAGGCTGATTTGCATGATATTAACAGAATCACATAATCATTGCTACATCACTGTAAGCCAAAACTCAGAATACCCTTGTGACATTAAAAATACTCAAGTACATTCCCAGAGAACTAGGTTGCTGGATCCTTCTTTTCCAATGTGGTCAGATCTTGTGGCTATGGCAGAGGATTATAGTTAGCCAGGCCCAAAATACATCACTGAAAAGTAACTAAAGAGATCTCTATACTAACAACAAAGTCTTTAGCCTATAAACATTTGCAAACATCAGAAACAAATAAACAAACAAACAGAATAGAAACAAGAGAGGACAAGCAAGAAAATGCCTTCTAAAGTTTCCCATTCTTCTGAAGCCAGTTCATGGGGCACCGAGGGGACAGAGTAGCATAAACCAACACCAAGTTAGTCAAAAGAATAACATAGGACATGAGAAAACAGCTCAAAGAGGTCCTCAGTGGAATTAGAGAGGATATAACTAAACAGATAATGGAAATAATAACCAAAAAGATTCAGGAGATTTCAGAAAATGTTAAAAAAAATTAGATGAGCTAAACAAAATAATATAAAACCTGAATGACCAGTTTACCAAAGAGTTAGAGTTCATAAAAAGGCTTTGATCAGAAATCCAGGAGATAAAAAATGATATTGAAAGTATGAGAACTGATGAATGTAAATACACAATTTTAGAACTAGAAGACAATGACTTCAAAGGCCAACTACTCAAAGTCACCTTAAAAACAACAAGAGAACATGACAGATGGATCCAATAACTGCTAGATGATGCAAAGAAGAGTAATTTAAGAATAACTGGAGCGCTGGGAATATAGCTCAGTAGCATAAGCCCCTGCCTGGCAAGATCAAGGTTGTGAGTTCGATCCCCAGTATTGCAAAACAAAAACAAATAAAACAAACAAACAAACAAAAAAACAAAAAATCCCACAAGACTCCTACATACCAAAATATAATGGCATCACTACTAAAAAAAAAAAAGAATAACTGGAATATGTGAAAAATCAGAAGATGGCACAAATGACAAAAAAATCCTCTTCACAGAAAAAATTCTCAAATTTTCACAGAAAATTTCTCAAATACTGTATAGGGACAGAAATAAACATATGGATAATTAAAGTACGTACAGCCCAAAGTAGTCATGACCAAAAAAGAACTTCTTTATACCACATATACTCAAAGTACCAGAACTCCATAACAAATTCTTTTTTTTTTTTTTTTTTTTTTGTTTTTCTCCGGTACCGGGAACCGAACTCACAACCTTGCGCTTGCCAGGCTGGCGCTTTGCCGCTGAGCTAAATCCCCAGCCCCAACAGGGACAAATTCTTAAAAGCTGCTGGAAAAAGGCAAAGAATCACATATAAAAGTAAACACATTAGAATTAAAGCAGACTCCTCTAGCAAGCTTTGAAGGCTGAGAGGGCTTGGAGTGAAATGTTTCAAGCCCTGAAAGATCACAACTTCCAACTCTGACTTATGTGCCCTGCAAAATTTCACTTTAAAAAATTGACAGAGAAATAAGCTATTTCCATGTCAAGAAGCTTCTCTAGAAATTTATGAGCACCAAACTAGTGTTACAAAAAGTTCTTAAGGATATTCTAGGAAGAGACAATAAAGCCAACAATACCAATAAGTTTAAAAAAAAAGAAAAAAGAATACAGCTGGTGGGATGAGCAGCTAAGCAAAAGAAAAAAAGATAAGGAAATCAGTAACAGGAAAATAATGCAATGACTGGAAAAAGTCAGTGTCTTTTAGTAATAATTCTCAATGTGAATGGTCTAACTTCCTGAATCAAAATACAGAGATTGGCAGAATGGATCCAGAAAGAAAACCCAATAATGTGCAGTACAGAAGAAGCACATTTAATTAAAAAAAAGAAACTCACAGGTTTAAAATCAAAAGGTGAAAAACAATATTCCATGCAACAGGGATCCAGAAAAAAGCAGAGTTCCTATTCTAATTTCAGAAAAAGTGGATTTCAAGACCAGACTGTTCAGATGAGACAAACAAGGTTGCTACATATTGGTTAAGGGAACAATTCAACAGGAAGACACAATAATTGTAAACATATGCACACCAAATGCTGGCATACCCAACTTCATAAAACAAACACTAGTGGACATACAAATCAGACAAACACCACACAATTGTAATGAGGAACCTCAATACCCCACCGCCACAAATAGGCAGGTCTACTAGACAAGAAAAATCAACAAAGAAATATCAGAAGTGAACCAAACATTTGAACAAATGGATTTAACAGATATCTACAGTGTTTCATCCAACAACAGACTACACATTCTTCTCTGTAACGCATGGGGCTTTCTCCAAAATAGACCACATGCTTGCCCACAAAGCATGCTTAAATAAATGCAAAAGAATCAAAATTATCCCTTATATAATCTACATATTAACAGATCATAGTGCAATGAAACTAGAAATTAATGGCAAAAGACACCACAGAAACTATGCAAACACATGGAAATTAAATAATACTCTCCTGAATAATCAGTAGTCATAGATGAAATTAAAGAAGAAATTAGACAATTCCTACAATCAAACAATAATGCTAATATGACATACTGAAACCTATGGGTCATAATAAAAACAGTCCTAAAAGGGAAGTTGTTATGGTTGTTACATTGTGTCAACTTGGGAAGTCTAGAGGTTTGGCTAAGTGACTCAGCAGGAAGCCGGGGTGCTTACTTTGTATACATCCTGAGCCCGTGGAAGAGGAGGGCATGGAGACTATGTGAGAGCTACATGCCCCTTAGGTGGGGGTAGCCTGTTTACAAAGTAAGGCAGGGAAAGAAGCTGCTTGCCGCCATTCCTCCCTTTTGCTCTGGCTGTTTGCTGTTTGGCTGCCATTCCCCCCTTTGCTCTTCTTGCTTTGTTATCTTCTGCCTCGGAGTCAGCCAAGTATGGACTGAAACCTCCACAAACTGTAAGCTAAATAAACCTTTCCTTCCTTCATTTTGGGTGTTGGGTATTTTGTCTCAGCAATGAGACAGAAGTAACTAAGACAGAAGTTTATAGTGAATTCCCACTTTAGAAAAAGAGGGAGCTCAAATAAATAACCTAATGATGAACTTCAAGATCTTAGAAAAACAAGAACAAGCCAAACCCAAAGTCATTATGAGAAAGGAAATTGCAAAGATCAGAGCAGAAATTAATGCAATTGAGACTAAAAAAACAATACAAAGACTCAATGAATTGAACAGTTAGTTCTTTGAAAGATTAAACAAAATAGATAAATCCTTAGCCAGTCTTACCAAAATAAGGAAACAAAAGACCCATGCAATTAGAAATGAAACAAAAGGCCATGAAATTAGAAATGAAAAAATGTGAGATCACAATGGATTCTGCTGAAATCCAGATTATCAATAGCTACTTTGAGAACCTGTACTCTATTAAATGGAAAATTCAGAAGAAATGGATAAATTCTTTAGACACATGTAAACTGCCAAAGCTGAACCAAGAGCAAATAAAAATTCTGAATAATTCAATATTAGTCACTAAATTTGAAGTAATAAAAAACTACCAACTAAAAAAAGCCTAGGTCCTGATGGATTCACTGCCAAATTCTACAAGAACTTTAGAGAAGACCTAATGCCAATGTTCCTCAAACTCTTTGATGAAATCAAAAGGGAAGCAGCATGGCCAAAATCATTCTTGGAAACAAGCATTACCCTGATTCCAAAACTAGAAAAGAACCCCACCAAAAAAGAACACTATATACCAATCACTTTAATGAACACTGAGGCAAAAATCCTCAATAAAATACTGGCAAACAGAATGCAGCAAGTCATCAAAAAGATCATATATCATGACCAAGCAGGATTCATTCCAGGGGTGCAGGGATGGTTCAACAAATGCAAATCATTAAATGTAATGTATCACATAAACAGAAATAAGTATAAAAATCATATGATCACCTCAATAGACACAGAAAAAGCATTTGACAAAATCCAACATCAGTTCAAAATAAAAACCCTGAAGAACACAGGAATAGAAGGTCTTTATCTCAATCTGATAAAAGCTATCTATGATAAACCACTGGCTGATATCATACTCAATGGAAAGAAGTTGAAAGTTTTCCCTTTAAAATCAAGAACAAGGAAAGGATGTCTGCTATCATCATTCCTGTTCAATGTAGTTCTCAGAACACTGGCTAGAGAATTTAGACAACAGAGAGAAATATAAGAGATATGGATAGAAAAGGAAAAATTAAGTTATCATTATTTGCAAATGGTGTGATCTTCTACATAGACCACCAAAACACCACCAAAAGACTCCCAGAATTAATAGACAAATTCAGCAGTGTAGCAGGATACAAAATCAATGCTCAAAAATCAATAGTATTCCTGGGCACCAATAATAAACTCACACAGAGAGAAATTTTCACAATAACATCAAGAAAAATGAAATACTTGAGGAATTAACTAAGGAAGTGACAGAGGTCTACAGTGAAAACTATAGCACTATGAAAAAGGAGATCAAAGAAGATATCAGGAAATGGAAGATATCCCCTGTTCTTAGATAGGCAGAACCAATATAATAAAAATGGCCATACTTCCAAAACTGTTGTAAAGATTTAATGCAATCCCAATAAAAATACTAATAGCATTTCTTACTGAAC